ACCCACAAGTCATCGTCTTCGTCCAGCAGGACGGCCTTCTCCCGCGCCTCGCTCAGCCCGGTGGTCTCATATCTGGGGAGGATGGAAGGAGCCTGGGGGTCAGGGGAGCTGAGGACTGGGGAACCAGGTCGGTGGCAAGGATGGGGGCGGCTTCCAAGTCTGCAGACCTGTATGTGTCCTGCTCTATGTCCAGCAGATCATAGGCCATGGCCTGGAACGTGAGCTCATGCAGTAGTGGGGACACGGGGTCAGCCGCCCGGTCCATGATCAGCAGCTGGGAGCGGGTTTTCTCTGGGCCCTGGGGTGGGGTTTAGGGCAGGAATGAGGCACTGACCCTGAGCTGGCTGGGGCTGCCCCTCACCTCCCAAGCACGCCCCCTTACCTCGCCCAGACTGGGAGTGTCTGCCTTGAAGGCGTTCAGCTTGGCCAGGACGGCATGGGCCAACTGGGCTGTGTCCTCTGGGCCCCTGGTGGGGAGGCCAGACATGGGGGACATCATCAGGGGATGGGGTCAAGGATGAGTTTTGAAGGTGGGAGACAGGGACCAGGGTGAGGGCCGGGGCTGGGGTCACAAGAGAGGTTAAAGGTTAGGTGCTGCTCGTGGTTAAGCGGGAGGGGGCGGCATCGGGGTAGGGCTCGGTGGGGTTCCCACTTGCGGTAGCGGATGGCCGGGTACTCCTGCAGTGTGGCGCACAGCGTGGCAATCTGCTGGGCCAGCACCTCGAGCTGCCGCGCGCGCTCCCCTGCCCGGAAGGGGCAGTAGAGGTTGTAGGTGCTATGGGGGGCATCGAGGGAGAACACCTGGGCGAGGAGGAGGACAGAAGCACCAGGGTTGTCGCTGCAGGTGCACACCTGCCCCGCTTCCCACTGCCGCCACCTGCACCTCCTGGGAGCTGTCCCTGGTCCCTGAAGCCTGCTTTGCCAACTTGGAGGCAGGCCCAGGTCAACCCTAAACCCATGCCTGGAGGAGTCAGTGGATAAATACCCCAGCCCCTGTCCTTTAGGCTGGCTGGACAACCCCACGGTGCGCTCTATGCTGCCCCCTGCAGGGGCCCCGGGGGATAGAAATCAAGGCAAGAGCTCCTTGGACTCTGTGGGTGCCTCCCCTTTTTTAAATTTTACTTTATGTATCTGTTTTTGAGACAGGATCTCGCTCTGTCGCCCAGACTGGAGGGCAGCAGTGCAATCACAGCTCACTGCAGCCTCGACCTCCCAGGCTCAAGCGACCCTCCCACCCCAGCCCCCTGAGTAGCTAGGACTACAGGTGCAGGCCACTATGCCAGGCTAATTTCTTTCTTTTTTTTTTTTTTTTTTAAGAGACGGGGTCTTGCTCTGTACCCAGGCTGATCTCCAGCTCCTGGCCCCCAGCAATCCTCCTGCCCTGGCCTCCCACAGTGCTGGGATTACAGGTGTGAGCCACTGCGCCCAGCCTCAGTGTCTGTTGCTGAGAGAACAGGGGACATTTGGTCACAAATCCCCACCCCCTGCCCAGGATGAGCCCGGGCCGTACCTGGGCCTCGTAGGGGAGGAAGGCAAGGTGAATCTCCTTCAATGTCTTCACCACCTTTGCCAGACGAGAGCGGCCCAGCTCACTGAACAGGGGCTCGGGGCAGGCTGGGGTGAGGCAGGAGTGGGGTATCAGGCCAGAGCAGCCCCCACACCTCTTTGCCCCACCCGCCAACACCCTGGGCTCTCCTCACTCACTGTCGGTGAAGAAGATATGGGCCGCTTTGTAAGTGAAGGTCGGGGTCCCCCGGAAGTCTGCGATCAGGGCCTGAACCGACTGGGGAAGGTGGGTCACTCTCTGGGCCTGAGCTTGCACACCCAGGTTCATTGTCTGCCCAGGCCTCCCAGCCACCTCCTATCTGCCACCATATGCAAACATGGATGGACAGGGTCATGCATATGTGCACATGCACACTAGTGTCGCATCCACATGGGCACACGTGCACAAACACAAGACACACACACACGCACGCACAGACACATGCGCGCGCACACATGCACAGACACACAGACACAGACGCACATGCAGACACACACACATGCACACACATACACACATGCATACACGTGCACACGCATACACAGATGCACACACACACACACGCACTCACACATGCACGCACACATACACATGCACATGCGCACAGGCACATGTACACACATGCACACGCATACACACGCTCATTCATGTAGGCACCTTCTCCGTTGGGCTCAGCAAATAAATGGCCTCCAGGCTGGGAATGGGTTCTCGCCGTTTGTTGATGTCTTCAACAACTAGTAGGAACAGAGGAAGGGACACAGGTGGGTGGCATCCAGGAAGGGCCACATGGGGAGTCTCAGGTATGGGGAGTGGATGCTTAGGAGGGACTGCAGGAGAAACATACCTCGGGGTCACCCAGCTAAGAGTCACACGGCAGGGTTCTGCACACTTGGGGGCTGTGCAGCCAACTGGTTTCCAAACCGGGTTCCCCAATTTACAGACAGGGAAACTGAGGTTCTGAGAGGACGGGTTCCCTCAGCACCTGTCTCTCAATGGCAAAGTGACTGGGGCATCTCCTGGGGTCACCCATAGAAGGCTGTGCATTCTTGGGGCCTCACATCCAGAGTCCACCCTGGGAGTCCCACACAGCGCTCCACACAGGGGCTGCATGGTTAGGAAGGGGCTGCAGCCAGGGAGTCCTGCGGGGGAGGTCTGCAATCCATGGGCTCCTGCCGTCAGCTTGCAACATTTAGGAAATTGACTTGGTCACATGATCAAGGCTGTCCCTGCAGGGAGCTGCGTACTTGGGAGTTCTGGACGATTTGAGGGGATCCTACACTCAAGGGCTGAACCCTGGGAGCGGGGCACAGTCAGGGGTTCCCACACTCAGGTCCCATCTCACTGGGACGCATTCACTCACTGGTGATGCCCTCAGCCAGGATGTCTGACATTTTGCAGCAGGAAGACAAGATGCGCATGCTTGGGTGATCCATGATAAGCACCTGTCCAGATGGATGGACAGATGGACGGAGGAGCAGGCGGAAGAGGCCACAGCTGGCCCCAGGAGGGGCCAAGGCAGTGGGAGGGGCAGTTTCAAGGGCTGGCTGGGCGGGAAGACCCAGGACCCATTCACCCAACTCCACCCATGTGGACAGGCAGTTCTCGGGGGTTCCACATTCAGAGTCTTCCCCATGGGCTTGATGAGGGGCTGCCTCTGGGTACCCAGCCATCTTCCTTGCCCCTACCTTCCACTCCCCATCCTTCTTGACACTCCGAATAACTCCGCTCAGAATTTCTGCAGGGAAGGGAGGAGAGGGGTCAGAACGTTGGTTCTCTGGTCCCACCACTGCCCCAAGCCTTCTCAGCCTTGCGGCTGAACCCCCATCTTAATTCCCATTTACTCTTTCTAAGAGAGGAGGGTCTCACTCTGTCACCTAGGCTAAAGCGCACTGGTGTGATCGTAACTCACTGCAGCCTCCAACTCCTGGGAGCCAGCGATCCTCTCGCCTCTGCCTCCCAAGTAGCTGGGACTACAGGTGTGTGTACCACCCACAGCTAATTTATTTTTATTTCGGTATAGATGGGGTCTCACTATGTTGCTCAAGCTGGTCTCAAACTTCTGGCCTCAAGCAATCCTCCTGCCTCGGCCTCCCAAAGTGCTGGGATTACAGGCATGAGACACTACACGGGAACCATTTATTTTTACCCTCCAGTTCTGCGAGGTGGCTTCTGGGGACACCCCCAATGTACAGACAGGGAAACAGATTCTTAGGCAACATGCAACTCACCTAAGCATTCTGAGTGTTTAAGTGGCAGAGTGCCGGGTCAAAAGGTGCCACTCGATAAACATATTTTAGATGAATGAAAAGTGGAGAGCCGGGATCATCCACAGCTCTATCTGCCTCTAGAGCCAGGCTCTCCGATTCCCCACCTGCTGCCTCAAGTATTCCTGCTGTATGGGTTTCAGCCAGTCCCCCAACCCTGGTCTAAAATGTAGGACCCCTGGTTCCCAGCTCTGAGGCATGCCTAGCTGAGGCTAGCCCACCGACCTTCGGCCTCAGTTTCCTCATCTGTAAAATGGAATCACTGTTTTTCCAATCTCCCCCAATTAAAGGGTTTTGAGCTACAGACTGCCCTGCCTAGAGGAGAGAGTGGAGAGAAGTAACGGGGTGGCCCCGCCCAGCCACGTCCACTGTGTCATGTCCACTGTTATCAAGGAGGCCAGGGCGGAAGGAGCAGCTGAGGCCGGAACTCCCCGGGGTGGAGGAAGAGGCGCCTTCCACCCTTCCCCCAAGAACGGGGGCCGGTGAGGCCTGGACGTCTGGGTCCTCCAGCTGCAAGGCGCTCCTGGGAATGAGGCAAGGAGGAAGGCACCCCCTACACCACCCCCGTGGGGCCTGGACACGTCCCCTGAGCGTTCACAGCATCTGGGGTCGCTGATCAGAGCCCCAGGAGGTCCCAAGAGTCCAGCCCCTGAACTTTGCCCAGCTTAAGAGATCCTAGAGTGTGGGCATCCAGCTGTGCCCTCCTCCCCCGGCAGGCACCCTAAGAGGCCCAGGAGTCCGCGCCCCAGCCTACGCCACCCTCTACCCGTCCCCTTTGGGTCCCCGGAGTCCGGCCCCCCAATTTTGTTGTGCTCTAGTACCGGCGGCAGGGGCGTCCAGCTGGGAACCCGTCCCCGCCCGCCCCCTCGAGGGTCAGGTGCTCGGACGCCCAGCCCGGCTCCCAACTCCTAGCCGCCACGAACTCAGGGTCCCAGAGCCCGTGCGCCCCCGAACCCCATCCCCCACGGGACGCCAGAGCCCGGCCCCGGAGAGGCACTCACTTTCCCCCACCACCGCCTTCAGCCCCGAGGGCGCCATCTTCCCCGAGGGGCGCCGCTGTCGCCGCTTCCGGGTGTGTCCCAAGGTGGGGGCGTGGCCCCGCGCGTCACCCACGTGGACCCCGCCCCGCGGGCCCTGATCCCGCCCCCTGCGCACCTGGCCCCTCCCCGCCGTCGGTTCTCGCCCAGGCCCAGGAAGTTGAGTCCCTGGCGGAGAGGACAGGCAGGTGCGTCCGCGCAGCCGACCACAAAGTCGCTGGAGGGGCACACCTCGATGACACGCTCACAGACGGGAGTTCAGACACACACTTCCTGGCTTGCGTGCGAAGCGGGATCGCAGGGCAATAATCCCTCCATCTTCCCTGGAAGGTTCGGTGACTGCAAGATACACGCGCCCACTCGATGCCACCAGGCCGCCACCGTCTGGGCCTGGGATCTTGACCCACTTGTCTTCTGTACTTCAGGGTTTAGAGGCAGCAGCAGCAGCAGCCGTCTTGGATAACTTTTGATGGATTCAGGAGGCCTGGAGACCTCTTGTGTGCCGGCACCTGGACATAATTTTCATTCAGCCCTGCCCGATGCCCCGACCTGGACTGCGGTGCCGATGAGGAAACCGAGGCTTAGCGCGATCCCTAATCCAAGGCCACGACGAGTGAGCCTGCTGGGATTCCAGCCAGGAGCCTGTCCCTGGGGAGCACTTGTCACAGCCTTACCCTCTTCCGGGAGGCGCCACACTTACCCTTGTGGACCAACAATCGAATTAACATGCTGATACACACATGGGGTGAGTGACGCCCTCAAATGCTTGCAAACACATACACACACACACACACACACACACACACACACAACTTGGAATTTCAGGAGCTGCTTCTGCTGTGTGTCCTGTTACTTAGAAGGCACAGCCCCCGCAGCACCCATACAAAAATGAGGTCTCCAAATTAAGGTGCGAGGTATGTGTGTAAACAGACTCTTACGGGTCTGAGCTGGTTCCTTCGCTCTGCCGTGTTGATGAAGGTACCAAGACCCCTGCCACTTACACGGGACACAGAGAGTGAATCAGACCCGAAGGTCTGTCGGAGAAAGGAAAGGATCCATGCTGCCCTAAAGGAAATAAACTGATGTGACAGCAAGTGCCATGAAAGGTAGGAGTGGGAGGGGACTTTATTGAGGGTGACCCCCAAGGACCTCTCTGAAGAAGCAGCCTTTTGACATTATCCCTGAATGAATTCTAGAAGCATCTACACAGCATGTCCAGGTAGAGAAGGGAGGGGCCCCGAGCTTAAGAAGGTTGGAGGGTGGGGGCAGTAGGGGCCAGAGTTCTGTAGGACAAGGGCAGACTGACCCATCCCAGTGCCAGGATGTAGGACTTTCAGTGCTAAAAATAGGACAGTCACAGGCAAACCAGGACGGCTGGTGACCGTAGGTAGGAGTTTGAGCTATTTCTTCCTTTCCTCTCCTTTTCCCTTCCTTTCTTCCTTCTTCTCCCTCCTCCCCGTTTTTGTTTGTTTTTGTTGTGTAAAGAGACAGGGTCTCGCTCTGTTGCTTCCTGAGCTCAAGGGATTCTTCCACCTCAGCCTCCCAAGTAGCTGGGACCACCTCGCCCAGCTGATTTTGTTGTTGTTGTTGTCATTGTTAAGAGACAGGGTCTCCCTATGTTGCCCAGGCTGGTATCAAACTCCTGGGCTCAAGGGATCCTCCTGTCTTGGCCTCCCAAAGTGTTAGGATTTTAGGTATGAGCCACCACACCCTGCCCCTTCCTCCTTTTTTAACAGCTTTACTGAGATATAATTCACATACCATACAAGTTGCTGACCTAAAGTGCGTAAGTCAATGGCTTTTAGTATTTTTGGAGTTGGGTGTCCATTACCACAATCCACTTCAGAACATTTCCACGACCCCAAGGGGTTTGGGTTTGGTCTTGAGAAGATAAAACGCAAGGGAAGAGTTCTGAGCAGGGGAAGGCAGGGAACCCTCCAGATCCTGAGGGGAAGGACGGAAGACAGGACCGCCTCCAGCTTCTCAGCTGGACCTCTTGAGGGGAGGGAGAGCTGATACGGCCAATCACTCCACCCCAACCCCCACAAGATATGAAGTACTAATCCCCAATACCCCACAATAGGACCTTATTTGTCATGGGGTCATTACAGATATTAGCAGTGAGCATGAGGCCACATTGGAGTAGGATGGGCTCCTAATGCAGTATCACTGGTGTCCTTGTAAGACAGTTATATGGCTGCCTGATTCTGGGTAGGTGGTTGGGAAGTGGGGGAATGGGTATATGAAGACCAGGACACAGAGGGAGAATGCCATGTGATCACGGAGGCAGGGAGTGAAGAGCCGCAGTGACAAGCCAAGGACACCAAGGACGGCAGGCCGCTGCCAAAAGCCAGGGAGGGACAAAGAGGGCTCCTGAGACCTGGTTTTCAGACGGAGCACAGCTCTGCCAACACCTTCATTTCAGGCTCTGGGCTCTGGAACGTTGGCTCAATACATTTCTGTTAAAAAAACATTTTAAAGGCTGAGCATGGTGGCTCATGCCTGTAATCCCAGCACTTTGGGAGGCCCAGGCCGGAGGAACACATGAACGCAGGAGTTTGAGACTAGCCTGGGCAATATAGTGAGACCTCATTTCTATATAAAAATACATGATAAAAGTCAACTTACGTTGCTTTAAGCCATCTGGTCTGTGACACTTTGTTCTGGCAGGCCTAGGAAAGGGACACTTGTGCTGAGGAGGGGGACACTTGGTTGGCATGGAGGGAGAGAGCGTGAACTTGGCCCTTTGTGGAACAGGGGAGACTCGGACAGAGGTGGTGATAGGGCAGTCCGTTCATTCTGAGATGAAACTTTCACTGGTTTCTGTAAAGGCATCTTGGGGAGCGCAGGAAAGGGGATGGGGACTTCCCAGTGGCATCCCCTTCTCGGGCACCGAGGGAAAGCCACAGTGGCTTGGGGAAGAAGGCAGGGACGTCCTCTCCCCGCCTGCCTGTCCCCAGGGAGTCTCACCTCCTGTTTCCACCTGGGGCTGGGGTGATCGATAGGAGATAGCTCAACCTGGCATTTGGGTGGTGTGGGAACAGGAGACCCCAGACTTTCTTGTTTTGGGGTCTGGGGCAGGCAGCCAGGCTCCAGGGACAGTGAGTCAAGGGAAGGGTGGCTGGGAGACCCCTTGACTTGCTGCCAAGGAGACAGAGCTGGTGCTAGGGTGGCATCTGAGGCAGGTGCAGAGAGAGAGGGAGGGAGGGAGGGAAGGGGCCTTTGACTCCAACCTCTTCTTTCTCTACTGACTGCAGGTGGCAGCTGCCCTTCCAGGAGCCAGTGGGAGGACCTGGGTGGCCGGGTGGGGACACCTGCCAAGTCCTCACCTAAGCCAGCTACCACCCTACTCTGTTGGCTTCCCTTCTCCAACTGTGGGGACGCTGGTCAGGCCTTTCGTGACATCACACCCGGGAGTCCTTGGGGTCCGGTCACTGCTGCTGGGCCCAGCGAGGTTCAAGCTCCGGTCGCCCTGCCCCCTACCCCCCATGCCAGATCAGGCATCGTTGTGGGCAAACAATTATCTGGATGATCTTTATGGGGCTTAAGCTTGGGTGGGAGCAGATGGGGCATGAGCTGGGGATTTGGGGATGGGGGGAATCCACACCCCCACGTCCCGGACGTTTAAAAGGCCCTCTCTGGCACTGGGCCGGGGCAGAGGCCAGCAGGAAAGTGACCGGAGTCCAGGGACATGATGGATCAGGAGGAGAAGCCGGAGGAGGGCTCAGGCCCCTGTGCCGAGGTGAGAAGGCCCTGCCCCCACCCCACCCCCAGCTCAAGGTCTCAGAGCCCATGATTGACAAGACTAATTAGTTTGTAGGGCACCCAATTAGCGAATGAGTCTCCTAGGACCCCCTGACCCAGTTGTGGCTGTAGAAAGGGGCTGGTGGGCTTGGGGGTCTGAGTGCCAGGCCCCAGGGCAGAGGGCAGGGCTCTCTGTGTGGACCCCTATTGATGGGAGATGCTGGGACCTGGGGGTAGCTCCTGGGCCATGTTTCCCTGACTCGTGTCCCAGCTCCCAGGCCACGCTCATCAGGCCCCAATCTAGGACGGCAGGACACTGGCATCAGAGCCTGTCCCTTGAGACGGTACCACGTGAAGTGGCACTGCCGGCCGGGGCCCCGGGGGCGGGGGCCGGGATTGGGAAGGAGACTCATGTCTCATCCAGAACAGCTCTGCAGAGTGGATCGGCGGGGACCATGGTGAGAGCTGAGGAAGAGGGGACAGCAGGCCCCGGGGTCGGGTGTGAGCAGGCTGGCTGGGAAGGTTGGGGAGGGGTCCCCAAGCTGAAGGGCCAACCGGACTGAGCGGGTCTGCCCGCAGGCGGGCTCCCCAGACCAGGAGGGCTTCTTCAATCTGCTGAGCCACGTGCAGGGTGACCGGATGGAGGGGCAGCGCTGTTCACTGCAGGCCGGGCCGGGCCAGACCACCAAGAGCCGTGAGCACGGGCCCGGGGGTGCTGTCCATGGGGCGTGAACAGGGTGGGAGTGCAGGGCCAGTAGTCATCTGGAGGGCCTGGGGGCACGGCGTGTGGGAGGTGGTGGTGCACCCTGAAGCATCTGCATGGGGGTGAAGGGGTAGGGTTGGGGGCCCCCAGTCTGGCTGTGTCCTCCCAAGTCTGTGAATGTCCACGCAGAGAGCGACCCCAACCCTGAGATGGACAGCCTCATGGACATGCTGGCCAGCACCCAGGGCCGCCGCATGGATGACCAACGTGTGACAGTCAGCAGCCTGCCCGGCTTCCAGCCCGTGGGGCCCAAGGTAGGTGATGTTCTGGCGATGCCGAGGAGAAACCCACCAGGCAGTGCTCTCCAATCCAGCCGGGAGGGAACAGGGCCTGCCCCACCTCTGTCCATCCGCTGCCCTGACTTCAGATGGGAGGACCAAGGCCCAGGCAGCGGCTAGAGGGGCCCAAGGTTATATAGGGGCCATGCTAGTGTCAGACCCATGGCTGGAACTTGTGGCTCCTGCCCCCAAGTCTAAAGGTTCTGGGGAGGCCAAAGGGAGAAAACAGGACCCCCTCCTAGGAGGATACCTCAGGGAGGAGGGCACGTGAGCTCACGCATAGGATATATATATATATATAATATTATATTTTATTACACACAACAGCATCCTGCATACTCACATGTGTTGACTTTCACACATACACGAAGCTTGGGTTCTGATCAGGACCCCAGGTGGGGTCCCAAGACCTGCCACCTCACGCTCCAAATCGCACCTAAATGGCAGATACTGAAGGTAACATAGGACCAGTGGCTCAGGATGAGTGGGGACAGGGTGCCCACCCCACACCTTCTCAACGTTCCGCCACCTTCTGGCTGGCACTGCCCTTGAGCCTCCCCCTGGCTGACCCCTCTTCATCCACAGGACGGACGCAGAACGAGCTGGGGACCCTCAGTCCCCAAACCCCTGCTCACCCTCAGGACCCGACCGCCTCTGGCTTCCGTCGGAACCAGCAAGCCCCCCAGCCCCGACACAAGCCCCCTGAGGGCCTGAGGCATCTTGGGCCTTACTGCGCAAAAACTGATAAAAGATAAAAACACTTCCATGAGTAACAAGGAACTGAGTATGCGTATATTTCATCAGGGGAGGGGCTTAGGACCCCCACTTGGAGGCCTCAGGATTTCTGCTGGGGCATGCGCGACAGAGCTTCTCCTCCCGCCGCTTCCGTACCCTCCTCTTTGATTCTTCTATCTCTTGAAGGCTATGGGGTGGAGAAGTGGGTGGGACAGGAAGGGGGAGGGGCAAACACCTCAGCGCTGCGACGGGATCCCTCTACCACTCTCCCACCACCCTGCCCCAGACCACGGCTTCAGGTTTCAGTGTCTCATTGGGAAGCCCCTGCCAATGACAAAGGGGTCCAAGGGGATCCGCTTCACTCTCCAGGAGAAGGCAATAAGGAACCACTCCTCCTCTGCTCTCGGTTCTCTTACTCATGGCTGGAGA